ATACGATTTGTGCTTCATTTCTGCCTTTGCCTTTTTTGTACACCAAATATTTCAACCAATTTGACTTTCAGACTAACACCCAGTACATTCTACATCCTGGCTCATGCCTTTTGCATTATCTGAAATAATATATTTCCTCACTATTTGAATCTGAAAATATCTAGTGTCTCTCACTGTACATTTGAGATGTGACCTCTTGTATGAAGCTGTCTCTGATTCTTCCAGCAGTAACACCCATCTGACATTTACATCTTGCTTAATACCATACCATCAAATATTGAATTTCCAATATGACAGTCACATTTGAAATTATCTCAAACTATCTTCTAGGGAAATGTTAGCTTTTCTTAGATAAGAGCTTCTTAAAATTAGGGAGTAATCTTTATAACCCATGTAGTAACTAATCATAAAATAAATATTACATAGATATTTATTAACTGTTACTCAAGAGGAACATTTATATACATCAATGAATGCTTTATCATATGTTGGTGAAAGATGTCCATTCATTACTTTTGTTCCCCTCCATTTATATTAACAATTGCTAAATAAATATAAAGATAAAATAGACAAGGTTTTGCTGTTGTCTTGTTTTGTTCTTGGTACATGCTAAACATGTGCTCTACCATTGAGCTATACTATAGATCCAAGATTTTTAAAAATACATTTCTCAGATAATTGTAATAATTAGAGTCTAAAAATACAAACAGTATTATAATGTTGCAATGGTGAAGTAGACTTTAATAGGGGTCGGTGGGAATATCACAATTTAAAGAAACAAAAGGGATTATCATTCCAGGAAGAATGTTAACAGACATAAAATATGAAATGGCTCAGTGGTGACAAAATAACATGATGCTTATTTGGGGAAAAATATTTAGATATATTTGCTTTTCAAGATCTGAAATGAATATATATCCCAAAACATATTTATTTTCATGACAGAGAAGAGAAAAAAGCAATTGATGACATTTTAATTTGGAGTTTTGCTCAATTAATTACCGGGATTTAAAAAAAATGGATTGTCTTTTACCATTATAACAAGGAAAAGATCAGCTCAAAAACAATGGAAAAAATGGATGCCAAAAATGAAGACCATTAGTTTTAGAATGTTGTTACATAAGTTATTAGGAAGTGTTCATGTTCTAAATTTACCTGTTAGGTTTAAGACCTTAGGCAATCCACTCTTGGATCTCTGTAAATATGTGTAATTAAGCCGACTTTAAGACATATTCCAGATTAGACATATTTACATCAGTAAATATGAAAAATGGAGACAGATGGATAGGTGTAGGCAACAATGGGAAAGAAGATCTGGTAGATCTTGAGGCAAGATTGAGGATAAAGTAGAATATTGCTGATCATAATGAATAAAACATCACTCTAGAAATTTAGGCAGATGTTATTAGCACTACATTATCCTCTGAGGATTCATATACCTGGGTTTAATTTTTCAGTAAACTGGGTAATTTTTATCTGTGATATTTGTGATTGCAAAGTATCCTATTGACATATTTCTTGTGGCTTAGTCGGTCTGTCTTTAAAAACAATCATAGGGGTATACATAGTAAGATTTTTGTATTTATATTTTAAAGAGGTAATTGTTATAGATGAAGGAAAAAGTATGAATTTTATAGCTTCTTGAGCAAATCATACATTTTGGCTAATATTAACCCTGTTTCCTTTGATATATCATCAAGGGAGCTGACAGGTAGTATTATACCCATCTATTGAGGCACAGAGGCAGTTATTGATGTGATTATGGGGCAGAATTTTGAAGAGACTGAATAAGAACAAAGAAGGTGACTACAATAGACTTCAAGTCTCTTAAAATTTTTCAGTGTTTTTTTCTAAAACATAGCTGGATAAATTGCATTTCTTTACAGTGGATACTTTCTAAAACAGATTCCTGTTTTCTAAAAAAAAAAAAAAAGGTAGAACTGAAGAAATACAAGGCTGAAATAGACACAGTCCACTTAACCCAGAAAGGACCCTCCAGCATTAATTTAGGGCTAGGAGGAAGTGAGCTATAGCAGAGGTGGAGAGGACAGCAGATTTGGAAGGTCACAGGGAAGCATTCCATTGGTAATGTTCTCAAAAGTTCCACTGAGAAGCTAGGAGTAAAGTGGAATGTGGCTTTTAGTTCCATCCCTCCAAATACTGAAAAGACATTTAAATCCTCCTCGAATATTCTTGGAGGCATTGGAAAAAGTTATAACAATGTATGGAAACAAAATTCATAATTGATGATTTAGTTTATGAGTATGGGGGTAGAAAAGATGATAGGATGAGACAGACATCATTACCTTGAGTACATATACAAAGACATGAATGCTGTGACTTTACTTTGCGTACAACTAAAGATATGAAAAATTGTGCTCTATATGTGTAATATGAATTGTAATGCATTCTGCTGACATATATAACAAATTAAAAGAAAAAAATGGCAAGTATAATATGTAGAACACCAAGTTAGAGCTATTTAAGAAAAATCTTTGCCTGAATTTCTTATTTTAGAAATCAGATACCAGATATCAATATTAGTATCTACAAACATATGAAGATCTTTAACTCCAAATTTTATAAAATAACACAGATTTATTTGTGGTGATCAAGCTAATACTCCAAAATGAGCACTGTTACACAGTTCACCTTAGCTGCATGTAAAATATTTGAAGATAGTAATTATAAAAGAGTTTCATTATTTTTAACGAAAAAGATAGTGAAAACTTAATTTTAGCAAGGCATGATGGTGCAATTCTGTTATACCAGTGACTTTAAGGGGATCTCAATTTTGAGGCCAGCCTCTTCAACTTAGAGAAAGTCCATCTCAAAATAAATAAATTAATTAAAAGGGAACTTGGGTGTGTTCAGTGGTGGAGTACCCTGGGTTTAGTTCCCAGTACTGCACAAACAAAACAAAACTAAAACCTTCATCTCAGGTGAAGATCCTGAATCTGATCTGCGCTGCCTTGTTTCTTGTCTCATATATTCTACTTGTTTCTGGAATGTCTGTGTCTTGCTTTAGATCCCTAATTACTAATTGAAAGTCTTTGCTTGTGTACTCCTTTTCAAAATGCCATCCTCGTGTACTGTGGGTTTATTTCTTCAATTTGCTCACCAAAATTCTGGCTGCAAATTGAGTCTTTCTGTCCTGCTTGTCCCCTAATTTGACACTGTGTAGTGATGAATGGACTACAGCTGTGTTCATGTAGTGGATGTTAAACCCCCTTTGGAGCCGCATTCTTCGGCATAGACTAGGAGGTCTGTGCAGATTCTCACTGTTGTAGAATTATGATGTTTTCTTGTGCAACACACACACACACACACATACACACACGTGCCTTTCAATAATTAAGCTGCATCTTAGAATTCACTAATTATTTGCTTAATGACAAGCAGTGTGTAGTTTGCATGATGATTATGTGCAAAAATATCCAAACATATACACACAAAAGAAATGTTAATGGTTATTCTCTTAAAATGATAGAATTGTGAATTATTTCTTTCCTCATATTTTCCTAGCCTTTTATATATCCTCTAAGTAAAGTTGCTTTTCACAATAAAGCATGATTAAATATTACTGTCCAATGATGTCTGTGAAAAGAAAGGAATAATAACCTGAGCTTCTAAAACCCAAGTTGGTCCTTCAAAAATGGAACAGACCAGGTAAATTGATAAGGGACAAGGATGCCAAAAGAAAAAAAGAAAAGAAGTAGAATGTACTTATTTATGAGACAATCTTTATTTATAGGCATCCCTGTGGAATTGTGTAAGTATTGTATCTCCCCATCTAACTAAAATTTGTAACAAACCCTAAGTAGGGATGCTAAATACAGTTGTGTATTGTCCTTAGGTTGTACATTTGGCCAATCCGTAGCAACTGAAAATGCCTCTTCTAAAACATTACTGTTTCATTATTCAATGGTACATCTAAGTTTGTTTCTTCTCTTTGGATTTGAAAAGAAAATAAAGTGTGTGCTTTCAATGAAAGAAGGATTACTTGTCCTGTACATTTCAGTTGGAAGAGGGATGCTGGAAGAACTACCTTTAATTTTTAAACACATATTCAGTACAACAATTCTCAAGTGGTGATCATCAGATATCTATTTTGCTGGACATAGAAAATACGAATGACTGAATCAATGCTCAAACTCAACCCTGAGAAGTCACCTGGGGAGCTGTGAAGACAAGAAGCCAAAGTTTTCTGTGCAGTCTCTCCATCTTACTTTATAATATGTATATTGATCTAGGGATTCTATTTAATATTTTACTTGAAGAAGCATCCCTCTACTTATTTTCACCTTATTGCTTTTCCCCACATCTCCAGAATTCTTTTCCTTCTTATTCTATTCATTCTTCAAAGCTCTCCTCAAATTACACTCACTCCATTAATAAAGTCTCTTTCATCCTTTGTCACTCATGCTTATCTCCAGCTCTCTGACAGACATCTGAGTTTATGGTCAGTTCCAATATTGTGATTTTTTTTTTAATACTGTGAATGAATTCGTTTCCCTGAGCGTACCTACACAAATGTCTTTTAGTCCTTACTTAGATGTTACATTTTATAACACATCAATGTATTGACTATCCAGCTTACAACACAAAAACATTTTTTTTAAAACTGAAAACACAGCATCTGACTCAATATAATGATATTTGCCTCATATGTGCATAGTGAAATGCAGTTTTTGAACCATTGTGGTTCTTTTTCTCTGCTCCAAGTTTTTGGGACCTAGGAAAGTGTTAGCCCCACATAAATATTTAATACCTATTTTGGTGATTTAATTTGGGGCTATGTCATCTTTAGCAGTAGAGAACATTACTGTTCTCAATAGCAGAGTAATTCTCCATTCAGAAAGATCCATCTTATTCATTCTATCATATTGTACAACAAACAAATAACTTTGGATTTCCTCATATAACTGTCCTAACAAATGATGAATCCATTTTCCTTATTATTTATAAATTATCATTAGTAACTGTATGTTTTTTTTAAGGTCCTCCTGGACCCCCAGGTGAAAAAGGCGACAGAGGTCCGATTGGAGAGAGTGGTCGGCCTGGCATTCCAGGTCCAATAGGTACGGTCATTATATCTACTTAATCATCTAACATAAGGCTCAGTTGTACATCTATGAACGTGTGCAGGTGGAATAATTATTTTGTGTACTGTGGTTTCTGCAAGTGCACATATTGAAGGAGATATTATATGTTCTAGTCAAAATAATCATATATCAGCAGGGTGTGTTGGTGAATGCCTATGCTCTCAGCAACTCAGGAGGCTGAGGCAGAAAGGGTCATAAATTCAAAAGCCAGCCTCAGCAAAAGTGAGGCACTAAACAACTCTGTGAGACCCTGTCTCTAAATAAAAATACAAAATAGTGGTGGGGATATGTCTCAGTGGTTAAGTGTCCCTGAGTTTAAGCCCCCCAAAATAATCATATATAAATATATGTGTGTGTGTGTGTATATATATATATATATATATATATATATATATATATATATATATATATATCTGAGATTGAATGACAAGAGGTGACTTGATTTTTTTAAAACAATTAAGTGCTTTAGCCAGAGTCACTACTGGAATTATTCATGAGTCGAAGGGTGTCATCTCTGTCATGGACAGCAAATAATATATTGCACAGCTAACTTCAGGTCACATGTGAAGAATTTAAAAAATCATCTTTGCATTGCATAAATTTGCAAGATCTTGTTTTTAAGATACAAAAATATCTTAATATGAGTCAAGGAAAACTTGAGTGTCTTTCTTATGTAATTTTTGACCAGACTATATCTGCTTAAACTCACAAAATGTGAAAGCAAATATTGGCTGGAATAAAGATGGATTTTACCTTTGCTGTTGGCCACTCTCTGTATTTTAGTTACAGCAATATTATTTTAAATCATTTCTCTCTATGTTGTAATCTTGAAAGCAATATTTTGAAAGAAGATAATAGAAAACACAGAAAAGGAGAGAGAGAGAGAGAGAGAGAGAGAGAGAGAGAGAGAGAGAGAGCGCATGAACTTTCTTTGCTCTTAATAAAATGAAAAAAAGAAAATAACAATAGCATGATTGTCCTACTTCACTTGGCTAGAAATCAAACACCCTACATGCTGTTTGAAAGTCGAGAATATACTGCATGGCCTAATTATAACTAGAATGATTTGTGCTGCCAAAATTATCAAAATACCTTGTAATTCATCCTGTTTCTCTGTGTTTTGACAGATCAATGTATCGATTAACCCTGGTTACATAAGAAAAACATTTTTTTTTAAATTTGACACTTAACTGACCTTTACCATTATGCTTAAAAATCAATATATACAGTTTATATTTTTAAAATATTGTTAAAGACTCTCTCTTGCCACGTTTTATTGTGTGTATCCTGTGTGTGTGTGTGTGTGTACCAGTGGGTTGGTGTTGATGTGCCTTTGAAAGTGATATCAAGTAAGACTTTTTATTCAGAAAGATTCTTCTAGTTGACTAGTGCTCAGCAGATCTTAACAATGGTACATTAATGTCATAAGCAGGGGAAGTTACCAGCTTCATAGCAGCTGCCAGAGCTACTGTTGTCAAGGATCTGTCGGCTCCTTTATTACAAACTGCAATGGTCAAAGCTTTTATAAATCAACCAAAACCTCCAGTCTGTGCCACAACTTGCTGCTCCAGACTTCATCTTGAGCAGCATCTTTTGCAGCTCATTCTGTGGATACTTAAGACAGAAAGAGGGATTTAAGTTTCCACTTTCATTAATGCCATAGGCAACATCACAAAGCTTCTTGGATTCAGTTAGCCAGGGCTCAGTTTGGTTTAGCTGTTACTGCTTATTTCCACAAATAGGTATTGCCCAGTGCTCTCATTAATTAGAATTAGACATAGTTATTGCTGTGATAAATCAGCTGTTTTAGGCTATCAGATTCTCATTTGGTTTCATTCATGGCAACAAAACTTTTCAAATTATGAAACATCTCTCCTAATGGATTCTTCCAAACTTAATTGCTGTATTCTCTCTAGACTCTGCTGGATTATCTAATTGCTTCAAATCTGACACTGAGATCAGGAACTAAAGACTGCATGGTAGACAGTCACAAAAATTCTGCTCTATGAATTGAGGAAGTTCATAAAATCCCCTACCTATACATCCATTTAAATGCACTAAACTTAGCTAGACAAAGTCAACACCTATACTCACAACTGTGATATGAATATCTGAGAAATTTAAGTGGTCATCAGAGTGGTCTTAAGTAACCAATACATTAAATACATCATATTTATTAGTCATGCACTAGAGTGGATATTATAATAAAATATTCTTTAACTCAAAATAATATAATAGAAATTAATTTTAAAGTGCTAATTCCTTGGAAGCACAAAGAAAGTGTAATCTCTCCCTTTCACCCAAAAAATTCTATACTAAGCACCTTTTCCATACCTGGGGTTCTGCAATACATTGTGGAGGAAACAGAAATTGTGCTAATTTCAGAGCTTACAATATGAGTAATTTTATCAGGGAGATGATCAAGGATTCTTGATGATCTTATCCTTTTGAAAACCAGATTTATGGTTATTCTCTCATGACAACAATGCTCAAAGAAGAAACACCTCCTTAGTTTCCAAAGGAAAATTTGTAGGCTAGGTAATGGAATATTTACACTTAGTGGAAAAATAGCAAGGTAGCCTGACCTATAGACACAGGAAGGGGTCCCTCCAAATGATGCTTTGAGAGAGAACTTAAGTCTCCACTGGGCACAAAATTTTCATCATCCACCAGTACTATGTATTTTTCTTGCATAGCCTAAGTTTTCCACCATGGGAATCAAGCTCCTGTAGTAGAAAATAGAGTCTACCTTGATTGTGGATGTTGGGAGATGGGAACCATATTTTATTAATATTTATATTCATGTATTTCTCTACTTCCACTCCAACCTTTTTTCCCTGTTGCACTCCAGCAAGGGCTTTCCCTCAGGCTTCAACAAAGACAGAATCCCTAAATATATGTTGAGTAGGGAACTTTGCCAGCTGCAGGCTGTTTCTCTGTGTGCTGAGTATTGAAAGCAGATTTCTTATGGAGGTTAAAGATAGTGTTAATAAATCCAACAATGCCACTAATAATTGTGTACATATTATTAAATATAACTAAATTAGTAGCCTTCACAAAATGTTGGTGAAAATAACGATTTTGTTATGGGAGTAGAGAAAGAATAAAGAGGAGGAGGAGGTGGTGGAGGAGAAGAAGAAGAAGGCTAACATGAAGTGTTCATTATATGATAGACTCTTTTCTAAGTGTTTTTATATTTATTACTTCTAGCCATCACATTTGTCTGTGATGGACAGACAAATAATAAACCTATTGAACAGAAGGACAGGGAGGCTAAAATGACTCACTCAAGGTCAATGAACAGCAGATAAATGCCAGAGATGGTATTTGAACGCTAGTGAGCACAATGGCAGAAAGAAGTCTGAATGGAGAGCTGAGAATCCAGGATATATGTGAGTAATTATCAGGCCAACTTTATGCAAGTGACTTGATCTCTGAAGGTCTATGTCATTACACTCACATTGTTTGTGAGTTAGAAGCTGGCACAGATTCTTAAAGAAAATTAGCTGAATGCTACCAGAAAGGCTCAGAGAATCCAGTCTCCTGGAATAAAACTCAACAGTGGAGTTTATGGTTAGGGGCTATATTTCAAACCAACAAGTCACATAACTCTCTATACCGTATAGAATCTGCTTCAACTTTTCCCATAATGGTCTAAGAATTCATTGATTTCTATGAAAATATCCCATGAGCTTCATTTGGGAGTGTATTTGTTCACTTGTAGAAAATGTACCATAAATCCAACAGCTGCATTCTGAGTGTTACTGTGATACAATCAATGAGCCATCAAGAGAGGTCCCTGCTCTCCTTCTCTAAAGAAGATCCCAAGGCATTTGTAGGTGACAGCGCTTAGGTTTTCCCAAATTACCTTCTTCATTTATTTGTTGCTTATCTCACCATCTGTCTCTCCTACTGTGTCACCACGTTGGAAGATCTTTTTGGATAAGGATATTTTAAACTCTAAGAATATGCAGAGACTGGCACTGTATGTGTGCTCAATAGATATTTGTTCACTTAATGGAAAAACAGTAGAAATAGGAATTACTTGTGAACAGTGCACTATTAAGATTCATAAAATATTTAATTTTTTTAAATGAGGGAATTTAGTGTCAGTGCTTCTTTTATTTTTTTTATTTGTTCTTTTTAGTTATGCATGACAGTAGAGTGTATTCTGACATATCATACATACATGGATTATAACTTCCCATTCTGTGGTTGTACATGATGTGAAATTACACTGGTCATGTATTCATATATGAACATAGGGAAGTTATGTCTGATTCCTTCTACTGTCTTTTCTATTCCTATTTTTCCCTTCCCCCCTGTTCAATTGCTGAACCTCCACTTCTTCCCTGCCCCCTATTGTTAGTCAGTATCCCCTAGAAGATAATAATTGCTAATTCAGAGATATGACTATAGTGAAGGAAGGTATAAATATATATCAGGTTGCCCTGAGAATATATGTTAGACTTTTTTAGACAGTATGATAAAAAAATCCAAACAATATATACTACAAAATATATAGAATATATATATATATATATATATATATATATATATATACTACAAAATATATAGAATATATATATATATAAATATATATATAATTATGTAGACAAATTAGTATATATTGAGTAATTAAGTTAACTCTTCTTTTAAAACATATGCTTAATTTCTGATGGAATCAAAGTTTTACACTGAGTTGAATATTATTTCTTACTATTTATAATAATATATTTAAACTGAACATTTCTTAGGGACAGCCAAATTTGGGGTGTCTATGTGAATGAATCTCAAGAAATGATTTTTAAAATAAATTAAATATGTATAAATTCTTCCTCCTGAATCCTGTGAACTAAAGGCAATATTCTAAAAGGTTGATACTAGAGAAAGAAATTAATCAAGCCTCTTTTAATGTGGCTCCCTAAAAGATTCAACTGAAAATTGAATTAATGGAATCTCTATGGATGGATAATTACACTTAAAATAAGAAAATAAGACATAAACTATTTTATGTTAGTTTGTTTCAATCACTGAACTCTAGGATGAAAAATTTTATTCCAGAAGAATATAATATTTTATTCCATAGGCTTTCATGGCCACCATAGATATGGGGTAAAAATAATGGCCATTTCAATTTTAATTTAAGTATATAAAACCTTTGACTTATGTATGTACATACTATATACCCATAAATAAGTCTGTGTGTGTATGTGTGTGTGTGTGTGTGTTTACATTATATGGGATTATAATGGAATATGTAAGAACATGTCTAAGAGACATGAAGCAGTTAACTGAAGAACTAGTACTCCAATTTTTAAATAAATATCCTTTGATAATTTTCATTGCCTAAGTTTTAATTTTTCTAAGACAAATCTTAAAAATTCAATTTTTAGAAAATCATCATTTCAGTTAGAGCAAAATGTGTCATCTAAAAAGATTCCTGATTCATTACATAAACCTTCTAATCAAAACTCCAAGATTTTTTCTTGTATGTTTTTACTTCTAACATTATGTTATTTGTTGAATATCTGAAATGTATTAAATGCACTAATGTTTATACCTATTTTATCTTTCAGTGGCACAAGTGAAATTTTAGAAAAGAAACTATCCTCAATTAGAGATTCACTTATTTCATATTCATTTGTAATACCCTCAAAACTACGTAAACAATGAACTGTTAACCACTTTCTTTTTTATTAACCATGCAGGTCCTCCAGGTCATAAAGGTGATCGGGGGGCAACTGGCTTTCCTGGCTCAAGGGGACTCCCAGGATTTACAGGAAAGGCGGGGAGGACAGGTACTTTAATACTGTGCATTCTGCTATCAAATATGCAAATAAACATCAGATCATCATTTCTGAAAATTTCTTGGACAACAAAAAATTGATCATCATAATAGGAATAGTAGCACACACACATGTAGTTTATTTTGTGGTCTGAAAATTTTTTGAAGCTGGTTTCTGTTCACCTGAGGAAAGCTTCTGTGTCCTGAAGGAAAATAGTTTAAAAACACATACACACAGGAAGTATTTATGCACTCTATACAATCATAAGTCACCATGAAGAATGGTATCTATCTTAGAGCAAACAGAGTGGAAAGACTGGCAAAGAAAAACAAACTAGCAAAATATAAATACCCCTGTAACCACACTGGCCAAACGCTGTTAAGACACAGTTGGCAAAATGCTGAAATCTTATTTCATGTGCAATAAACTTCTTTCTATATTTATTAATGCTTAATAATCAACATGGCTCAGCTCTTTAACATAGTTTTGCCTTTTACAGTGTCATACAGCTGGCAACACGCAGTTCATTGTCTTTTCAGACAAGCTTCCTCCACATAGCAAGATGTATTTAAGGTTTCTCTCCATCTTTTCATTACCTGTTTGTTCATTTCTCTTTATTATTCAATGATATTGCATTTTATGGATTTATCATAATTGGTTTATCCTTTTACCTAAGAAATAAATCTTGGTTTCTTCCAAGTTTCAGCAACTATTAATAAAACCACTCAAACCCTTTATTAGCATGTATTTGCATGGACCAAAGTCTACCTAGGAGTATATTTACTGGATCGCATGGCAAACATATTTATTTTTTAAGAAGCAGCTGAACTGCCTTCTAAAGTGACTCCACTGTTTTGCATTCCTACCAATGAATAAGAATTTCTGTTGTGCCACTTGCTCACTGACATTAGGTTTCATCAATGCTTTGGATTTTAGAAGTTCTAAGAAATGTGTTGCAGTGTTGCTGATGATATCAGTTTTTATATGACAGCCACAAATAAGCAACCTGTAATTAGTCTCCACTAGAGATGTGATTATCTGAAATGAGTGGTGTGTTTATGTACCAACTACCTCTAAACTATCTACCTTTAATCAGGCTCTTTGGGCAATATAGGAAGAAGTGTGTGTTTATAATTTGTTTAAAATTATCTACAACATCAGGGATCTCATTTCCAATATGGGCAATTTGAATTCAATAGACAAATATATTTAGAACCTTAAATTTGATGCAATTTCAAAGCTACTTATAGTTACAAGATAATTTAAAATAATTTTGTGAAATAAGAAGAAATAATTTAACTGTACTGTAAACTTAAAGTAAAAATGAATCTATTTGTCTATGATCCATCTGAAATAGTAATGGTCATTTAGCTTCCCAGGAAAACTCAAAATAAAGTTTTGTTTTGGAATCTTTTTATACTTTCCTAGTTTTATAAAGCTACAAATTAACATTAAATCAAATATCCAAGACATAGCTATGCAAAAAGACTTTCAAGAATGATGCACAGTCTTTTTCTCTTTCCTAATTGTGAAATTAATGCTGAAGTAATGAAATTAAGCAGTATATTATGTTATCTTCTCTGTAAAGAATTAGTACTGATTAGTTTCATCTTGTTTTAACTCCCTAGACCATTTTTTTCCTTTAATTTCTTAGATTTTTCCTCTTGAACATCTGAAAATTTGGCACTATGACAAATTTAGGTCAAAAAGATAAGAGAGGTTTGGTGGGCTTTGGGTTACTTAATGGTTTTTGTTTTGCCAATTTAATACTACTTGAAATTATTCGATCAAAATTATGAAGTTAATTTAATGATACAGAATAAAATAACAATATGTAAATTAATTCAAAACTAAGAAATTCTCTTTATATTATTCTAATAAGAATAGTTGGACTTTCATTATATCTTCAAAATAAAATTCAATTGGAAATAATTTGTACATTTTAAGTGCTTCAAGTCTTATACTCATTACATACCACATTTTTAAAGATTTGATATATTAGAGGTCAGAAGAAATCTTCTAAATGGCATATAAAGACAAATGTCCAAAACTAAGCACAGATGTAGACAAAATAAGCTAGAGAAATCAACAGGTTAATCAATAAATAATATTACAACTTTAAATGGAATTTTAAAAAGTATGCCACAAAAATTAAATTGAGATGAAAAGGTCTTTGTCTTTCATTCATTGAGAATAAAACTTCAGATTCTAGCTAAGCTATGGAAGATTTAAAAATAACGGAAATAATAATAGAGGAGCTCCCATCTCTTATGAACAAGTACTTTGCAAATATTTTACTCATTTTCAAGGCAACTCTCCGATTAAAGAATTATTTCTTTTTAAATTTCACAGAAGAATATGCTTTATCTCTAGAAGTTGAAAGACTGTTGTCAGCCACATTTCTATTAAGTAACAGAGCAGACTAAGTCAACACAGAGGTCTTCAAACTATTAGGATCATTCAAAATTCTGTTGTTTTTAAACTACATCCCCTAGAGTCTACATCCCATAGTGTATTTTGGATGGAATTATGGAGATACTTGATTTTTTAGGGGGAAATAAAAAATGTTAACAAAATTTTGATCTTTAGCCAGAAATCATTAGAATCAGTCCTATGTTTATGCTAAGAAGGTAATTCCTTAGACGATAGATATTTGATGCCTGTTGGAAGAATTAATAATCAAGAGCAGCGCTACTGTCATGAAATTTCACCATAAAAATCACTTGTTAGTACTAAAGAAAGTTTTCCTGAGTATCCCTTAAAAATGTAACTCTGTGTGAATTACAAATCATTAGCAAAGATCAAGGTCTAGCAATATTTCCAGGTCTATTTAAATCCTTGCCCCCTATAAAATGATAATGTTTGTACTACATCTTTATGTAAATGGATGCTGGTTTTTGAAGTCAAAAGTGACCAGCCTAGGGGTTCATATGGTGCACGGACCTTTTTGCCCTCTGTCAGGAACTAGGTTGTCAGAATCTAAACACTCTGAGCAATCCATTCACAGCCTAGTGCTTTGGCTGCTAAGCCATAAAAGAATGGAAAATGAGATAGGTAAATTATAATAGGAAAAAATCCAGTCAGGTTTAGGATAAGGTGCAAGATACTGGGCGTCCCCAGGATGGTAGGGAGGCACAGTCAGATGAAGAGAAAAATATAAGAATACATAAGTACAAAATAAACTATTTACCCTTCAGCTCTGCTTGTTTTACAAAAATGGAATATGCATCACCTTTGTGATAATTTAAGATAGTATACCAGGTTTGCAATAGTTTTTCAAAAGTGATAGCAATTATTATTATTATTAACATCCGTATGATTATTATTTTGCAATATCTATATGTTGCTATACATTGATATTTTAGATTGACTGGTGATGCCCTATCTCCATTTAATGCAGCATTGTTGGGGCTGGAAGTGCAGCTCAGTGAGGGTGTGTGCTTAGTACCAAAAAACAATTTCTTTTTTTGTTATTGTTTTTTAAAGGAAATCCTGGACAAAAGGGCCAAAAGGGAGAAAAAGGAAGTGGAAGCACATTCAGTAAGTTATTGTTTCTCATTTTCTCTATGCATTTTTGTAATCAATAAGATTGTGATATCGGTGGTCTGAGCTTGAGACAAACATTGAGAAATTCAGCATTGATCCATGGAGAGTCTGTGGAAGCCAGCCACAGTTTTCTACAAATAAAACATGCTAATTGGAGTAAAACAAATAGATGAGATTATGCAACTCTTTCAATCTCATTACCCATTTGTATTCTGTTTTTGTGATGAGTACTATTTTCTAAAAATTCCACATAGAAAATTGTTCAATTCTCAAGTCAATTTCTATCCACTGAGGGAAAATCAAGCTTATGAATAGAAACAATTACAGCCTCCTTACCTACTAAAACTGAGCGAACTGAAACCTTATATGTAGGAATTTAGACAGCCCAAGAACCCTGACAGATTAATTCTCTGAAGGCTGTGTTGGTCAGGGGCTGAGGAGGGTGTTTTGTTTTGTTTTACTGAAACCTTGAAAAGGTCACATTCCATATTCTAGACTTTAAGACCTGCAACAGAATAGATTTAGCAGCTGGGATCTTTGTCAGTGGAATGCAGACCCCAGGTTGCCATGTAGAGAATCTATAAAATGGACCTCAAAAAATAAGGTCATCTTATTGTTAAATGAAATGTGCATTATTTCTTGTGTGTCTAGGTGAAATTTTCATTAATACAATGAAAGGGTTATGAAGAGGAACGAGGCTTCTTTACCATTAGGAGTGCATGTAGTGTGTGTGTGTGTGTGTGTGTGTGTGTGTGTGTGTGAGAGAGAGAGAGAGAGAGAGAGAGAGAGAGAACAGCTGAGGTGAACAGAGTCATAGTCTATTCAGGGGTGCATTTTAGACAGATTATAGCAAATCCTTTGATGTACCAAAATCTTGCAATTTTTAGTTGTAATGCTTGTTTTAAAAAATACAATACCAGTATATCTCTGCTTTCACAAAAAATGATTTTTAACCTAATACCATGTATGGGTGGCACATTTAGACAATGTAGAGTTATGATTGTGAATATCAGCCAATAGCAGGATCTTTCAAAGTTGAACAACTCAGAATATTGTGTATCTCTTAGAGTGTTTGATATTAGAGACCATTATCATTTTTATGATTATATTAAGATAATGGGAGCATTAGTATATCTTTTGTGTTCTCTTTTTTGTGTATTTTTCCTTTGAGATGGTCACTTTTACACAAAATTCTTCTTATTCTCCTTTGTCCTTTTCCTCCATTTAAGTTCAGTTGAGCTCTTCTTGTCAGTCTCTCTTCCCCAGCTTTATGTGTATCTTTATCTCTACCTTTACTTTTTTTTTCCTGTCTTTATTTTCTTTCCCTGAGGCTTTCTCTGAGCTTCTAAACACTCACTCTAGTTGAGTTTGGAAACTAAGGAACTTATTTATTTATTTATTTATTTATTTTGTCTGTAAACTGAACAGTCACACTGTCTACTGTTACCTGGGGTTATCAAATGCTTGGAAGATTTTTTTCAAATATGTTTGGAAATGTTGTCAGTTACAGATTTTTCAGGGCTATTTTGGAGTTCATGTGCATACTTTCTTTGACAAAGCCATAGAGGGCTACTTATGTATATATGTGTACATAACCTCCATATTCCTCTCTGTGCCTACCCCAAAGAATATATATCACAAATTCACAATATTTTGAAAAGGAAGAATCATTTACATGTACATCTAATATAACACGCTCTATATTTTTCATGTTTAAGTTGATGTGTCTGTCATCTGTCTTTGTCACTATATATGGCTCTCTTTCCTCTGAATGACCACACATTACTCCAATATTCAGCTGTTCCATAATTATCATAGTAGAATCATTCAGTTGCTAATCTTAAACCCTCAATTTTGCTTGGCTTTAATAAATAATGCTAATATTCAACAACTTCATACATGATATTGTGAGAATAATTTTTAGTATAGGATTTACTCAAAGTTGAACCAATAGTTCAAAGGTTATATGCATATTTTTGCAATTTGATTAATTCTAACAAATGGCTTCATAAAGGTTGTACCAACTTATGCTGAATAAAAATAACTTGCTCCCCACATAATTAATTAACTGTGGTATATGAAAGGATCATATTGAATTATTTTAATATATATTTGTGTATGTTTCAAACACAATTTAAATGTAATAAAAATAACCATTGATTTCCTCTTTTATATATATGTCAGGACCAGTACAACTTCCTGATCATATTAGGGGAGGACCCTTTTAAGATCAGGTGGGTTGGGCAGGACACTCTCTGACTCCATCTAATTAAAAGGCCTTTCACCTCTGGACAGGTCATCAACACAACTGACTTCCAAGATCCCTTTTGTGACTCCTCCAAATGACCCTGGTTCCTGTGTCAAGCCTGGCTTCTACTGGCTTCTTCTCCTGATCCTTGGTGCTGTTTGGGTCTCCACTGCCACATTCATACATTCTCCACTCTACTACCATCACCCCTATCCCATTTGCACCCCTTGCCTGACTCTCCCATGCAGTGACTGGTGGGGTGCCCAGGCCTATCCTCAGGTACCAGACCAGCAGCCCTCTGCTGTTCACTCTCTTAGTCATGCTAATCCCTCTTTAATTCATCGGATCCTAAGGAGAATTGATCATATGAGAACTGATTATATGTGGTTCTTTAAGTTAAAAACATTATTCTCAACCAAGGTTAGGGATGGCATAGAAGAAAATCTATTCATTCATTCATTCACTTAACATATGTTCACTGTATTCATCCAGAAACAGGATGTAACAACTAGTGAGATAGACATTGTCTCTGGCCTTGCAGAGATAATTGTGCCTGAGAGATTCAGACAAGCCGGCAATTAGAACATGCTAGAGCTCTATGGGGAAAGAACAGGACTTTATAAGTGTTCAGAGGAGATAAAGATTCCCTAGAATATTAAAAAATAGATTGATTTAGTTTTCTTAGTTTACCTTCCTTTCTGATCTCCAGCTTATAGCATATTATTTTTCAAGTTTTAAAAAACTAAGGTAATGTGGAGCTTTGGATAATTTATTCAACACATTTGAACCAAAATGTGTTTCCTTAAATTACCTATTTCAAACAAAAACATCTTACACATGATAAAATGATGCTGAAAAATAATATTACAACAAGTTTCTCTGTATTTTAAGCTTTAAGTATAGACTCTGGAGAAAAATAAATATTTTAGTAGAAGTAGAGTTATTTTGTGTAGGTGAAGAAGAGGAAGAAATTGAAGAAGTGGGAAAGGCAGACAAAAACGTATTGGAAAAATGTGGGATGATCCCATGTTATTTTTGAGTGCCTCTGTACTGAGAAATGTGTGACCACATTTTCACAGCTCTCCTTTTCTTCAAGTTTTAACACACAGCCCCAAGGTTTACACCATTAAGTTTCTTGTAGAATTCCATGTAGTATGTCTATGTGTCTCTCTTTATTTCCTTTCCCTGCCCTTGTTAAATGGTCACGTTAACACCTACCTCACAGGGTTGTTGTGAGGACCAAATGAGATATCCTGTGTGTGAAGATGCTCTGTAAAATCATAAAGTGCTTTAAAATCATAAGATATGGTTCACAGTGGTCTCTCTGAATGGAAACTGCTGTTCCTCTCTGGTATAATGCAGACATTTTAAATCTGCAGTTGTAATAAGAGAGAAAAGCAAAATGTAAATGCAAGGAGCTAAATAAATGTCATGGATGAAAAAAAAATGCTAGAGAATAAGACAAGATTTTATATTAGAGCAATGCAAGTGTGACCAGATCACAAATCAGTGAGTCTGTGTAAAGAGCATTAGTTATAAATAAAAGAAATGACTACACAGTGTGCACACCAGAGGATGGAAACAGTCAACAGAGATCAGAACAAAATGTCAGGAGAATAAAACAAGTATTTGGACTCTGAAAGACACAGCCTGAGCCCAGGATGCTTCTGTTGAGAACATACTAAGAAGGCAGGAACAAATTAGTGTTTCAATGAAACTGGCTTGTTTCTATTACTGCATGACCCCAGAATCTCCAGGGATGATTAGCCAATTTTTCAGAGTTCTCAGTATCAGCAAACCATCACCATTGAATAGCTAGTTAGTGCAAACATCTAGAGATAAATTGGGCCTCTGTCCATGCTTTAATTTGATGTGATTTCCTATCCCACATTTCACTAGAGGCCAGGCTGAATGTGGGAGATGTCTCCTGCCACCAGGTCTTGATCCATACTGGCTAGAGAATGACCCTGAACCCAGAGATCCTGGGAGGCAGTTCCAGGGGATTCAATTCACAAGTCATTGGATATCCCAGACTAAATATAGATTTTTGAGACAAAAAATAGATGCTGTCCAGTCTGAATGCACCCACTTCACCAACTTTATCAATGTACAATGAAAAGGAATCTATACCAAACCCCAAGGTTGGTCTCAAGGAATTGTTCACTATGTTCTCACCCTAAATGAGAAGAACAAGTGTTTCTTTTTAAGTGAAAGAATTCCTACCATTCAATTAAGCACTTTGTGAGGCTCTGTCCTACACAGTCACATTATGGAGGTGTGGTTTGTTAGTATCTTTTACTATGTTTTGCTCAGACCGAATGAGACTATAAGAATTTTGAGTATCTTATTCAGAATCTCGTACAAAGAGAAGAAAAATCTATTTGTCTTTGGTTTCACTTCTATTGAGGACTCAATTCAGTCTCAAATTTTTCAAAGTACTCAGATCACTAATTTTAATAATGAACTCTTAAGGGTACTGGCTGAACACCATGTGCTTTTGATACATCATTCTATCTAAATTTCAGAAGAGTGATCAGGGTAATTACTATTAGAATCTCCATTTAATGGATTAAAAATTGAGGCCTACTGCTAATAAGTGGAAGAGCAGAAACTCAAGCCAAATCTATCATTCTCCAAAGTCCCTATGACTTTTATTCAACATCTCACACTAGTTTTAAATGTGTGTGTGTGTGTGTGTACACACAAATAAATAGTACAAATATTTAATAGGGAGCCTGTGGAAGCA